AGGAGGGAACACCCCTGGGGGGGCTCAGACACAGTGTGGGCTCCTGGTACCTCCTCAGAGAGCAGGAACTGTCACCTCCTCAGGTGGGGAGTCACCTGTCACCTCCTCAGAGAGCAGGTACTGTCACCTCCTCAAGGAGAGTCACCTGTCACCTCCTCAGGGGAGAGTCCCCTGTCACCTCCTCAGGTAGGGAGTCACCTGTCACCTCCTCAGAAAGCAGATACTGTCACCTCCTCAGGTGGGGAGTCACCTGTCACCTCCTCAGAGAGCAGGTACTGTCACCTCCTCGAGGGGAGTCACCCTCTCAGAGCTCAGCCAGGGTGTGAAGCTGGATAAGGAGAAGCTCCTCAGGAGCTGCCAGCAGGTCTCAGGTGACAGTTCCGTGCTCTGAACACCCCAGGTGACTCTCAAACCCACCTTAATGGTCACGGGAGTGTCGCTCCCACCAGGTGGGTTTTCCAAAGGCTGGGATGAGTCCCCCGTACCCAGGGGGGTACCTGTGGCAGAGGTGGGTGAACAGGGGCAGTTCTGGGGGGGGGCTGGTCAGCCAGAGGGAAGCCAGGAGCCTCACCTGCAGGAGGGGAGGGCCAGCAAAGCTCAGTGCTGGCCACAGCCCTGGATTTCCAACCAGGAAACATCACGGGCAGCGTTTCGCCCACCTGGAACACACAGGCTTCCATTTCCCCCATAAACTACAAACAGATGGGATTAGGAGCACATATCCCCCTGAGCAGAGCCCCCAGCAGCCATTATCAATCCCATTTTTCCCCTAGTGCATTTAATAATATTCCTAATGCAGCTAATTATTGATTGTGAACAGCACACGGGTCCTGGTTGTGAGGGAGAAACAAGGCCGACCCCAAACATCAGCGTGTGAGACAGCACGAGCCTTACACAGCCCTCACTGCAGCACTGGAGTTAAAGATGTGACAGGAAAACCCAATTTCCCTCACTCTGTGCATCCCCTGAAAGGCTCCACTCACAGTCACCACGTTCACACTTCAGGTGGGTCTAAAACAAACACCTACAGCTACAGCAAAGCAGCAAATCCCCCTGGAAACCTCGAGATGTCCACCACTGTCCTGTCCTGGGCTTTATTTTCCAGGCAACCCCAAAGATCCTGAGACAAAGCTGCTGTTTGCTCTTGAGTATCCAACTGCAGCGTCCCAGGACACCCGGCTCTGAGCTCCAGCCCCTGTCCTGCCAGAGAAAAGGCACCTTCAGAAAGTCCAGATGGTCCTCAGGAACTCAAACCTGAACATTACTGAGGCCTCCAGAGGGAAGATCACCGAAACTCCCACCACCACCAGAGGAAGGAGATCAGACAGAGCAGAGCTGGTGTTTTTAGAGGGACTCCCTGAGCACCCCGAGGTGAGGATGTGCTCCAGCTCCCTCTGAGCTCAGCCACGACATCACCACCAGCCCTGTGCTCCCTGGCTGATGGGCTCTATCTCCCAGCACAGCTCCACTGCTCCCCTTCCAGAACCTGCCTCGTGTGCCCAAGGGGGGCCACCTCCTGCTCCAGGAGCCTCTCACCACGCTCAGCCTGGGCTGAGGCCGCTGCTGATGGCTCCCCTCAGCCCGAGCAGTTCCTCTTCCAGCCAAACGCTGCAAACCCAGAACCCTCAAGACCTGTCACCGTCTTCACGACAACTTTTATTCCTCTCGGGTGAAGCCACGTAAACTCCCAGCTCAGAGCCGAGGTTCGGCGATTCTTCCGCGGTGATTTCGCTCGAGGGGAGAGGAGCCGCTTCCCGAGCCTTTTTATTCGGAGGGCCTGAACCGCGGAGCACGTGTTGGTGTTTCGCGTTCAGAGCACCACCAGCACCTCCACCCCCGAGAACCCCCGAGCAGGACCCCCCAGGCAGAACCCCACGAGCCGGACCCCCCTGAGCTGGA